AAAATTACACCTTTTTACAAAGTCATCTAATATTTACAGGAGATTTCCACAGTTTTTTATGAAGAGTTACAAAAAATAATAAATATGAAATTAGGTGCTATTACATTTAAATTTCTTATGTAAATTTGACTCCTTGATCTTAAAACTTTAGTAACTTAAAAGTCAGCTAGAATAATTGTTTATATATTATTAAAAATAGTAGTAACTCGCATTGTGTATAAAAAAAATGTTTCAGATTTTAAAAAATAACGGTTAAATTTCAAAAATGTTCAAAACTTTTATTAATCAATTGTTTGTGCGTTTTTAAATTTTGTTTATTTTTTAATTTAGTAAGTTATTGTGAATTTGGAATATTAAAATATTTGTTTCTGGTTTCAACCTTCAAATTTTATTCAGAACTAGTGGTGTTTGGCATCGTACCTTACAATTAGGGGAAATTGCTGGATCTTCTCATACTGTATTGAAATATTCGAGAAATATTAAATGCTTTCAAATAGATTATTATGAATAGGGTAGGGCGGGGCACAAAGGTCCAATTTGAATTTGAGCAATTATATTTTAACAAAACCAATTATATCACAACAAATAAGACATATCAAACGAATAATTATCTGACTATGTTCCCAGCAAATTTATGATTGTAGAAATGTGTTTATGGCTGTTTTTCAAAAATTTGTAATCGGGCTTTTTTGCCTCATAAGCGGGGTAAAATGAGACAGCCAGGAGAGTAACAAATCCAATGTCTTATTTTTAATTTTAAAGGGATTTTACGAACTAACTTAATTTACTTTTTAACTTCCCGTAGGGCAAGCTATAGTAATCGCTAAAAAATCGACAATGAAAATTTTATATATCTTTACGTTTCAAAACCTTCTGAACATTTTGGCATATCTTAAAAAAATGGATGTATGTGTGTGTGTATGTGTGTGTGTGAACACGGATGAAGCGATTTGAATAATTCAAAAAACATTCGATTTGTATTGATAAGAGACGTGCTGATTAGTTTTTGGCAAAGGCAGGTCTAGCCGTTCCGAAGATATGGGTTAAAAAGTGCCAAAAACAATAATTTAGTTTTTAAGAGAACGGAGCGTCCGATTTGAATAATTCAAAAAACATTTTACTTATATTAACAAGATGAAGAACTGATCAAATTTTCATGAAGGTAGGTCTAACGGTTTCGAGGATCTAGTAAATTAAATAGTTAGTTAAAAAAATGCCATTTGACGGCTAAAAATGATCATTAGACATATGCACATCAAATTATCAGATATTTTATAGAGATTTTAACAATAAGTATGAATTTTGTTTACATTCCTATGGGTTCAGTACCAGTGTATCCGTTAGACGGCGACGCGGCGCTTACGCGCTTCGATATTTCGTCTCTATGCAGTTGAAGCCGTACGATTGCTTTGAAAAAAAGTTCAGAATTTCCAAAATATTTCAAAATAATATTTTCTTCAAAAAGTCTTTTTTTCAAAAAAAAATAAGTTTTTGGCAAAAATTTATAGTTTCTCAAAACTCTAATTTTTTCAGAGTATTTTTTTTTTTTCAAAAATGTTAATCTTTTATGAGAGGGCGCTAATAGTATTAAACCCACACTATTTTCTCAGCCTTTAAAAAGTATGTGAAAAATTTGACACCAATCGAACAAAACAATTAGTCCGTGAGTTATAGCATTTTGAGTGACGCTACTTCTTTATTTAAAAAAAAAGTGGATAACACGAAATGTTGTGTTTCAACGAAACATTAATTTATAATGGGGAAACATTAATTTATAATGGGACAAAAAGCTGGCAATACTAAAAAGTGGCTTGATGAGTGCTATCCGCACTAAGCGGATAATACTAAAAAGTGGCTTGATGAGTGTTATCCGCACTAAGCGATATAACCACTAGGAAGTAGTTTTAAAAATTTTGGGAAGCCCCAAAAAAGATGGTTACCGATGAAAAAAAAGATTACACAAAATAATGTTTGGTAGCCGTGAAGTGAAGTTAATCTATATATAACATATCTATAGAGCGTGTTGGACTTATTGTGCATGAATATTTGGATAAGAGTTCGTGTATAAATTTTATCTATATATATTAATTTTGAAAGTTCTAAAGTACCTATTTTTTAAATTAAAAAACAAAGTTAATATATATATATATATATATATATATATATATATAAACTGACAAACGCTAGTCCTCATCGAGATACATCGAATATCTTTTAAATTTTTGAATTTGGTCCAGCCGTTTTTGAGCAAACGTCGATTTACGGCAAAAAATCTGTTCACACATACACACATACTTTTTCCAAATTTGGTCTTATTCGATTCAGAATGGCTTGAAACGTCGAGAAAACATAAAATTAGAATTTTTTGATGAAAACATAAACTTTTCCTTTGGGAAGTTAATTATACAAACGACCACAACAGACGTCGTTTTGTGGAGACGTATCTCTAATAGTTACAAATTTTCAGAACTTGAATTGTTAGGGCTATTAATATGAAAACATTGTTAGGGCTATTATTATGAAACACTACACCTACTACTACAAGGTACAAGAGAAATAGGATAGAATAGTAAAACTAGTAGGGCGCATGGCATCTAGCCTTAAGGGAAATTGCTGGCACTTCCCGTACCAAATATTACTATTTTTTTTAAAAACTATTAACATTTTTGAAAAAATTTTACTTAAAAAAAAATTGATTTTTGAAAAACTATGAATTTGACAAAAAATTACTTTTGAGAAAAAAATGTTTTCTTTATTTCGACATATTTTGGAAATTCTGAACTTTTTTTCAAAGCAATCGTACTGCTTTAACTGCATAGAGACGAAATATCGAAGGGCGTAAGAGACGCGTCGCCGTCTAACGGATAAACATTGGTACAGAACCCATAGGAATGTAAACAAATTTTATACTTATTGTTAAAATCTCTATAAAATATCTGATAATTTGATGTGCATATGTCTAATGATCATTTTTGACCGCCAGATGGCATTTTTTTACTTTTTTTACTAGATCTCCGAAACCGCTAGACCTACCTTCATGAAAATATGACCCGTTCTTCATCTTGTTAATACAAGTAAAAGTATTATTAAAATCGGACGCTCCGTTCCCTTAAAAATTGAGTTAGAGTTTTTGGCTTTTTTCACCCCATATATTCGGAACCGCTAGACCTGCCTTCGCCAAAAACTAATCAGCACGTATCCTTATCAATACGAATCGAATGTTTTTTGAATTATTCAAATCGCTTAATCCGTGTTCCCGAAATCGTCGACGAAAATTTGTATCCCACACACACACACACACACACACATACATCCTTTTTTTCTAATATTATCAGGCATTCCAAAATGTTCAGAAGGCTTTGAAACGTAAAAATATATAAAAATTCTCATTTTCGATTTTTTTGCGATTACTATAACTTGCCCTACGGGAAGTTAATAAAAAAATGTCGAATTTGCAAAAGATATATAAAAAGAAAAATGACTTGTCTGAGATCAGTCGTAAAAACATTTTCGATATGAGATATATTTAAAACTCTAAGTCTCTTAGGAAATAATTTTAACTTCTTAAGTCTTTTTGAGCAGATAATAAAATTACAAATTACAATTTAAATGCGTGAGTTCTTTTTACAATGGTTAACGATTTTAGAGATTTTATTTAATTTATATAAGAGCCGACCGTTTTAAACTTTATTTTAAATAACGTCTAAAACGTCTAAAAAATACATAAATTTTTAAATAAATTACATTGTTTGTTAATTTGCTATAAGTTGAGCATTAGTAGTTTATCAGCAATTCGTTTCTACGTAGCTAATTTAGCTCTATCATAACAATGCTTTGTCTCCTAAGTATGTGTTGGGTACGATTGTGACATGTTTTTTAATGTTTTTATTTTTGGTTGAAAGGCTGAACATATAAAGAAAAGTCTAATTGAATTAAGACAAAATACGAAAAAGAAAAGAAAGGTTCTGTCTAGTATATGGAAACTCAATTTCTGAAAGTAGTTGTGGCGTAAAATAGGTCAAGTGCCAAGAAACATGCGTTTTCTGGTTCCACGTAAAATGCGCCTGTGATAGTCACTTTTACATTTGTTACTTTTGTAATGATGCTTCTGGCTAGATCTCAGTATATTGATACATAGTTACAGCGATATCTTGAGTGATTAGTTTCCAGATAATTATTAACATTTTGAGTGATTTTAAAGAAAATAATTTATAACAACACCAGTGAATTATTAATTATCGCATAGTTCAGTTTATTTCTTGTTAACTTTGTTTAAAAATTATGTTTTATTGTATATTGTTATATTATATTCATAAGCTTTGTAATTGTTTAAATGATTTTGTTGTGTTGTAACAATTATTTCTAATATTTCTAACAATAAAAGTCATTTAAAATCATTTTGGTGTATCTCCTCATCATATTTTTATGCCTGTCGCAACCTGGGCTCGTGGATGGTTGTGACACTCGCCTTTTTTGTCTGTTTTGATTTTATGACGAAAACAGGACTTTGAAGAAACAAGGATAGTATCTCAGTATTTTTACGTAAACAAATGTTAAATTTACGATTTAATTTATGATCCCAGCTAACTAGTGAATTAACAAAACTATTGCTGATATATAAATGGCACAACCGTATCCAATCTTCCCTACTCTAAACGATTTCTCTGACATTACGCAATGTTTATAATTGTACGCGGATTTTATAATTTTTGCACAGAAATGGGTTTACTCTGTCGGTTTGTTATAAATTTCAATCGGCCTCTATCATCAATTTTTATGTACGAAATGCAATATAATAAAATTCGTACCATAAAAGAAAATGTGTTATGATATTTCTTTGAATTTTTATGCCCTTGCAATTTTAGGTGTATACAATTGTGAACTGTGGGCTTGCTATAATGTTTATTTCTTGGATGTCACTAGAGCCATGTTGTAGTCGTTATCTTCATGCATTGATGGTTAACATTATAAAATAAAATAAATGAAAATATTTCCATTACCTTCGCAAATACGATCCAACGATGAGACGAAGTAGTCGTCGCACACGATCGCCAGCCCAAGGAAAGTGAAAATAGCTACGATGACGTGTATGACGAGCCCTCCGTGCTTGCGGGCGTGGGGCCCCATGAGGGGGCGCGGAAACTGCTCGATGGCGGGCGGTGTGCAGTTGACGCGCTTGGGACGCCACGTAGGGTGCGATGTTGAGGGAGACTCGGACGTGACGCTCGGGGTTTCTGTGCTCCATTCCGTACTGGTCAGGAATGATGGACCAGTGCTTCCGGGCGTCTGGAACGGAATAGGATAGACGAGTTAGAAAATCGCAATCGACTTGATCTGATTCAATTGCAGACATATAGATTATATATACATATATACAGGGCCGGTCCTGGGGTCCTTAGCGCCCGCATGCAACTTTTTTTCCAGCGCTCCCCCCCCCTATTGATTTTAACAGTTTGTCATTAAAATTATATAAATATACACATATTTTTTAAAAATTAATTTTTAATTATTCTGGATTCAGTACACGAAAAATTAGATATAATCTAGAAGGGTATAAAATATATTGATTTTCAATTTATTTATTATTATCGATATCAATAAATAAAACAATCCCTGTCGTAATTTCACATTTTAGTAATATTCAATTTGTAATAAATTGGTTAAGGATGTAAGTTCGACTACCATAGCAAAAGAATTAATATTTTTGTTAGATTAAAGTTATAGAATTTAAGAAATGCATTGCAGAAATAGTATTTATTATTTTGATATAAAGATCTTGATATCTGAAATGCATTTCTTAAATTATATAACTTTAACCCTTTCGACTCGGGAGCCGGATTGCCAGTCGGTACGCTGCGCTCGGAATATTATAGTGCTATACTTATCTCTCAACTCGGAATTTTTTTTTTTTGTATCGATTTTTTTCAAAATGTGGTTATATTGCTTTTAAATATAGTTATTATGATAATAAAATAGAAAATTTTGAAAATTAAAAAAAAATGCTCTCAAAACCATGCTATATTGTTTAAAAAATCATTTCTTCACAGATCTTTATTAGAATTATGGGGATCATGAGCTAATAAATAAATTTTGTTATATATTTATTTATAAAATTAATAAATCAATCAATAATTGAATGTAATAGTAAATTAATTTTAGAAAAAAAAAAAAAAATTAAATGTAAGTTTAGTTTGCGACGAGTCGTCGCCGACACGATTTGCCGCCGGAGCGGCGGCATCCGAGCGCAACGGTAAAATGACTATGCCGCCGGAGCGGCGGCATCCGAGTCGAAAGGGTTAATTTAACAAAAATATTAAGTGAAATAAATAAATTAATTTTTAATTCTGGATTTAGTGCACAAAAAATTAGATATAATCTAAAAACGTATAAAATATATTGATTTTAAATTTATTTAGAAAATCGAGGCGATTCGGGGGTTGATTGTAGTCAAATATTTTGTAATTTTCAATTATTTTTAACGTATGTGCAATATGAATATTTAAAAAAAACTAGCATTTCTTTCGCAAAAATAATACTCGTATTTCATGTTGGATTTTTTAAATTTTGATTTAATTTAATTTTTCATTATTCACAATATCCAAAATTGCGTCGTAAACTTCTCCTTATTGATATCGTAAGAGCCGTCATATTCAGAGTATCAGCTTGTTGTTTTAAAGTTAAATTTTTAACGTATTTTAGAAGTATTGTTCAAAAATCAGTAAAAAAATGCAAAGAAATTGCACATTTCTTGAACAATATTGAAAAAAAACTTATTATATTTGATATATATCATTTCTGTATAGTTAATAATTATTAAATTTAGAGTGTGGACACCACTAGATATAAAACAAGCCTTAAAATTTTCGTTCCAAAGTAAATTTTGCTTCCATTTTTCATATTTGTTCCACCGATGTCTTCAACATTCAAAGTTCAACAGGTGCGAAACATTTGCAACAAAACCAAAAGTTACAATTCAATTTCTCTGAATAAACAAGTCATTTTCTAAGCACTGACTCCCCATTTTTTATAATTTGTTTATATTTTTTAACAAGTTCCGATTCAACTAAATCAGCTCGCAATTTTTCGTCAATAATGCCAAACAATTAATTTAATTTTTCGCAGGTTTGTCACATTGCATATCACATTGCAAAATAAATATACTTTTTGTGTCTCCGTATCCCTAGTTAAGTTAAATTATATATTATAATTTATTAAGTATTCTAGATTTTAAATAAATAATTCTAGATTTTATATAAAAAAATATAAGTATTATATTATAAATTTAATTTCCGAAACTCGTTTTGGCGCCCCCTAAGGCGTGCGCCCGCATTTTTTGCATGCATCGCATGCAAGGCAGGACCGGCCCTGCATATATATATATATATATATATATATATATATATATATATATATACAAAACAAGCACACACATACTATCTAATTGATATATCAACTGACCGAGAAACATACATGAACATAGTTTCAAAAGCTTTCAATTATTTTCTAACCATATTAAATTATTTTTTAAAATGTGTGTTGGTAAAATTTTCAATCAGTTGATCAACAAGAATGCAAACTTTTTGATTTTTTTATTGTGATACCTTAGACCAATTAATGTTTTTTATTTTAAAAAATTTAAAAAATTTAAATTCCAATTAAATACTGCATTATTCTCAACTGATATCTTGCAAATGGGGATTTTTCATTGGAATATGATTACCTGAAAAAAGCAGAGTTATGCCCTAAACTTCCAATTACGAACGCCTTGATCAATTTCTTATGAGACTGCTTAACATCAATTGATTTTTTTTATTATCGAAATAGACAATGAGAATATATGTATTGTTTCTATAATCCTATATGATGATGTCGTATATGGCATTTAGACGTCTCCTCCATTGAAAAGATCCTCTGTTGGAATAAATCTATAACTGTCTGTTTAGAATTATATATTGAATGTACTTTGACAATTTTTATTGTGTCTTCTTGTTTGAATTATTTCGTTGATGCATTGCATTTTGGCGTACTAATGTTCATCGATTTTGTTGTGGTAAAAACGTGAAAATAGATCTGTCGTTGTATGTGTACCGGCATCAACGTTGTATGCGTACCGATATCAACAAGGAAATCGGCATGGATAAATAATTATTTTAAAGTTACATCGTAGTACAAATCTTGATTTAATGAGAAATGCCTGAATCAGAAGAATATTTTACCTTGTTCCTTGAAAAGAATAAAACAAATGAAACATTTGTGCCGTGTACTAAACGTAAGTTTATTGATTAGAAATTATTTCTATATTATTCATAGATTTCTATAAATGTTTAAAGTTATTAAAATGGAAAATATTTCTAGGCAAGACATATATTACAGCTGTTCAAAGAATGAGATTATATCGCCAGCGAAAAAGTAAAAAAATACAAATATTATATGATGATGAGTGAAATTGTGAAAACAACATTTGTTTAGGCGTTGTTTAAAATAATTCACTATGTGAACAAATATTATAGAATTTATTAATCAGCAATTACTTCATTTCTCTAATGAAGGTTTATTACTAAATGCTAATTATAATGACCGATCATGTCATATTTGAAGTATGACTTTATTTACATTGTTGTTTTTAAATATTATACATATTTTTAATGCTATTATAATTATATAATTTATAATTTATCATTATATAAATGTGTAAGAGATATGTAAAAAAGAGTAGTATGTATGTATTATCATACGAGATCCTTGCATCTTGCATCGTTTTGCTATTAAATACGTAGAAACATTTTGGTATTGAAGCATCGAACCACAATTTTTCCTGTAAAGAGATAAAGCTTTTTGCATGAAATTATGCGAAGTTTATAGAGTCGCGGTGCTTAACTTTTAGCCGCCTGCTGATTCTTGACAATTTAACGAGCAGCAGGTACTAATTGATGATAAATCTAGCAAGTAAATGACATTTTGTTTAAATATATATATATATATATATATATATATATATATCCTCCCAAATTCGTTTGATGTTATAGTATTTAGTACATATGCAAATTAAACGAAGTACATTATATCGATTATTATCAATTCACATTTATCGTACATTATTCGATTGATATTGGTAGGGTAGTTATAGTAATGGGTCGAAAATCGAAAATGAAAATTTTTGCATACCTTCACGTTTTGAAGGTTTTTGAACATGTTGGCATACCTCAGAAAAAAATGAGTGTGTGTGTGTGTCTTTTGTATGTCCGCATTTTTTCGTCCACGTTTTCGGGCGCACGGATGGACCGATCTAAATGGTTCAAAAAACATTCGATTCCTATCGATAGAGAGATGTGCTGATTAGTTTTTGGCAAAGGCAGGTCCAGCCGTTACGGAAATACGGAGCAAAGACTGCAGAAAATACAAATCGAGTTTTTGAGAAAACGGAGTATCTGATTTGAATAATCTAAAAAACATTCAATGTTTGGATGAAGACGTGATTAGTTTTTGGCAAAGGCAGGTCCAGTCATTTTGAAGATACAGAGCTAAATGTGCAGAAATTGCAGTTTTTGAGAGAACTAAGCGTCCGATTTGATTAATTCAAAGAACTTTCTGCTCTTTCAGCTCTTAATATTAACTTCTAGATAGTGCGCAATTGTCTCTCGTTTCTCGTCAATCTCTCGTTTATTTACAACTGTCCAGTTAAGGACATTTAATAAATTTGTGCAATTTACAATTGTTGGAAAAACAACTCAATAAAAAGTATATTTAATAACTTATATTTTGTTTATTAAAATATGCTATTAAAAATATAAACAATCAATTACTGGAACTTCCTGTACCGTAATTAAAAATTCGAGGCATGAAAATAATCAACAATTGTTTTAAATAATTTCAAATATTTATTTGAATTGATTTAGATATTTAGAATTGATTTTCAGATATTTATTTGATTATTTATTATAAATACATACTGAAAATTTATAAGTGCTTTATTGGGCGACGAGCGTATTCTTATGTGTATGCTTACATACACAATTTATGTGTATGTTTACAAGAAATCTCCGTCAAAAAAAAAATCACAAAAACAGAATAATTTTAATACGGTGCAGCCAAGTAAGTAAGCAGGTAAGTTTAGGAGCTTCGCTTATGCTACTTGCCGAAAT